CTTCATTTGGTTTACTACATTTTTAGGGAGGAGGAGCGAAAAAATTTTATCCCCTCCACCCAGCATTTGGATGGGAGGGGTAGAACCGTAAAAATGTTTATAACCAAACGAGGGATCGGGGAATTGAAGGAATCACTTTCCCTTGCCTCCAACCAAACACACCCCTGAACTTTCTAATGGTATGTTTGAACACACATTTCAGGAAGAAATGGCGTAAAGGGATTCTCCCATTCGATGCAACAGCCATATACGAACGCTATGGATCTGAAGAATGGGGAGATTATCCTATTGGTGAAGCCCATCTCTCACAGAGGTTTGTGTATGATGAAAATGGGTACTACCATTGCTGTGCTTCCATTCCATTTCCCGAAGGCTCTTAGGAATCTGCTCTTAGGAATCTGGGTTTGCATGGTTTCTAAGGTTATGATCATCCAATCTCATTGAACATCTTGTTAGATTCATTGGCATTACAAAATGTTGGTTTCAATGCATTCTTGATTATCTTCCTAGACAGTGTGCAAACCAAAACAATATGGTTCGAAATAGAAAAGCCATTTCTTAATAAAAAAAAACCCCCGAAGAATGAAATACGGAATACTAGATAAATTGATTTAAAAAATAAAATGCAATGATTCCCTGAATTTGCAGTTGTTGATGAGCTACTGGTAATCCTCAATGTTCTATAGCATGCCTTTATCGTTACTGAAATACGGAGAAGTTTGTTGCATACATATACAATTTACTATTGTTAACCACCTAACCTCTTGCTTTTTACGGACTTGTATACATTCTAAATATTCTATTAAGTACTTCCTCCGTCCCAGAGTATTTGTCCACTTTCATTTTTACACACCATCCAATGCACTTCTTTAATCCATTTTATCTTGTAATTTGTATATTAAAAAATTATAAAAATTATATATTAATAATCTATATGTTAAGACAAATCAAACAAGATCATACATGACTATATTTAGGCTTACAGATTGAGAGAATTTGATGAGTCAAAGTGCTTAGATGAACAGTTCTAAAAGTCAAAAGTGGACGAATATAGTGGGACGGAGGTAGTACTATTTAAGTATAATTCTATTTATTTTAATTTTCTAATTATGATACAATAGGTCTTATATGAATACTTTTTAACTATCATATATATCTTCGTCGTAATAAAATTTTAATTTTAAAATAGATGTATATGTATTAAAATTCTATTTTCATATACATGTGAATGATGTGCATGTGTAATGTGAAAATTTTTATACAAAATTAATGGTTGTTGAATAAAATAATGATAAAAATTTTTAATTAACAATAAATTGAAATAATAGATGTTAAATGGACAATTAAGTAATGACACAAACTTTATTTAATAAATAGTATTTTTTGAAAGATACATGTGATAAAATTTAAAAAATAGTTTTTTAGAATTTATAAAATAAACGAAATGGTGGGCAATTTGAGAAACTATTTACTACCTCCGTCCCTGAGCGGATGTCCAGTTTTGACTTTTTTCAGTCAATCATTTTCAACATTTGATCTACAATTAAATAAAATATATATTATATATTAGTTAGATAAAATAATATTTTTAAAATGTTTAATTTAATAAACCTAATAAAACTATTTTTATATCAATATTTAATATCATTTTTATTTAATTTGAAGTCAAAATTTATCAATCTTAACCGAAAAAAGTCAAAAAGGGACAAATACCTAAGGACAGAGAGAGTACAATAAAATGGTGCTTTTTTTAATTTTTATAAAGTTTATATTACATTTTAAAAATAATGATAACATAATTTTGCATATTCCAAAAATATGTAAGATTAATGAAAATGGTATTTTTAAAATAATTATAAAATGAAAGATTTTACAAATTTAATAAGAATTATAGTTATTTAGTGTTAGAGAGTAAAAAGGTTTATAAAGAAGTAATAAAAACACATACTCTTAGTTACTCCTTCCATTCCATATTAACTGTCTATTATGACTTTCTTGGTACATTGAGAAATGAATGAATGTAGACATAAAGACCTAAAGTATGTCTACATTCATTAATTTTTCAATGTATCAAGAAAGTCATAATGGACAGTTAATATGGAATGGAGGGAGTATTTAATGTTTGACTAATTAACTATATATAAAAAGAATAACTAATTTACAAAATATATAGTTATTGAGTATTGATAGTCTAAATTACTTGACCGGGCAAACTATACTAGACCGGGTCTAGAATAGTTCACTAGATTTACTAAAGTTAGAAAGGTAAAAACACGCAGAGTGACCGATAGGACTTTAGGTGGAACACCTGTAGCCCAATTTATATTATAATAGAGAATGCACGGGCACTTTTACAAGGGAGTTTAGAGAGAATGAATTCAGATCCCCTTTTCTGAGGTTTACATGAGTATTATACTAGGCTGCAGGGGACAGGACGACGTGCACCCACGTGGGTGCACGTTCTCGGATGGTGAGAGGTGATGGGCCTTGTCCTCTAGCTACCTTGTCACCTTGTGAGGGGAATTATTCCCTTTTGTCAAGTAGTGCCTTGGATGGATTCCTCAAGCATCTCCAGCAATTCTCCACTGACATGGGTCGCTAAAGTCCGAGCCCTTTTAGATTCTCTTCCGCCGACGCTTTCTAACCCTAGAAACTACACCCGGTAATTTCTGAGGGATGAGTTTATCGAAATTAGGGAATGAACGGAGTGATAAAGTAGTTTGACCGGTATACTTTTTCTGAAGTATACCGATCACCTTTTGACCGATTTGAGTGTCCTCTGGCTGATGATTAAAGTCCCTCCCCTGAACTTCCAAGATTGACCGGTCAACTATCTGGTCTCTTCCTTTGACCGGTCATGGGTGGAATACACCCATCAAGTATAATTTTAAAAATTTATTCATAAATAAATCCGTGGAAAAATAGACAATTCTTCAATAGGACACGAAGAAGTTTTGTTGAAAAAAATAGACAATAATAACAAAATATCTTTTGAATTTGATACATGAGAATTCAATTAAAAAAATTAATAACAAAAGGAGAAAAGATTAAAGTGTGAGTAAACATTTAAAATATACAAAAATAAGAGTTTCATATTTTTATTCCCAAAATAGGAGTTAAAATGCATTTATAGTGCAAATCAGGACCATATACATTACCAAAAAGTATTGTGAAATATTCATGTACAATGTCACATTACCACAGTCTGAGTTTCTATTTTGAAAATAAAAACACAAACCTCATATTTTGGTACTCTCTCTATGTTTTATTTTTGATTAGGGTGATTTTTTAACAAAAATATATTTTGAGGAACATGACAAAAAAAATTAAAGTCATTTGTATAAAAAAATGGCTAAAGGAAGGGGTTGAATAACCACATGAAAAGGGAGGCTTCCTACAAAACTGAAATCTTTAATGGTATGTTTCGGAACATGGATTTGGATTTCAAATTCGGATTTAGCTTAAATTCCATGTTTGGGAAACTTAAACATTTTGAATTTGGACTTGAATCAAATTATTTACATTCAAAACAAAGCTTGATTTGAAATACATGCACCTCCCATTGTCATTTAAAATTAAGGACTTCAAATTTTGGAATTGAAATGCATGAATCGAAATGAAATGCTAGTTGCCAAACACTACCTAAGGTAGTATTGATGAGTTCTTCTACACAAATCGTATGAACAAAAACGCCATATAAGAAGAATGAGCAAAGAGCAAATAAAGACAAAAAGTGGGAGCGAAAAAGAAAAACACATGACAATAATTACTTAATTAAAATAATTAAATCCATGAAAAAGAAAGATGCTTCTTCAATAGGACACGAAGACATCTATCTATACAATATACAAAAGCAAAAGAATTGGGTAAAAAAAGAAAAAAAATAGTGTTTCCCGCCCAGTCTATCCACCGTTGATAAGCCCTTTGGAATATTTCATCCACGGCCTTTATCAAGCCTTGGAAATTGGAATACATGCATTAATTAGTCAGCCGCTTCATTTGCATAAGGCTGCGGAAACCGATCACTGAGCTTCCCTTCTCATTTTTTTTTCCTTTCTCTTTTAAATTCCTATGTTGTGAAATGAAATCTCATTTGTTGAAAACCTAAAACGTAATGCAATAAATGATTTAATACACCAATAAGAAAATGCATTTAATTTGGGTAATTCCATATGGTGTACTCTTTTCTTTTCTTAAAACAATTCTTCTTTCATTATTTTTGTTTTTTTGAAAATACTTCCATTTTTTATTAAAAAAATAACTTTTAATCCTACTTTTTCTTACCATGCATATCATATCATACTCTGACACTGATAATTTATCCATCACATCTTATTTTTATACATCATATTAAGGGCAAAATTGTAGCATCAACTACAAATATGCATTCCTTATTTTTTCTAAAATTCAAAATAGAAACCGTTTTTTGAAACGGAGGGAGTACTATATAGAGCATGTTTTATAAATCTGAAATTAAGAAAATAAAAAAATGGAGCAATGTTTAAAAAATTTTGTAATTAATAAAAACTTGGTGTTAAAATACATCTCAAAATAGAACTAAAATTAAACAATGTGTACATTGACTCCACAATACAATTTATTGAAATTGAATCCAAACAATGACTCTAGGACATATTTGGGTTCTCATAAGGTTTGCAACTCAGATTGCAATTCAGATTTTGACAACATTCCCTACATTTGTCGGAATTCTAGAATAATGTATGTATCTTGGGTGTTCCAAACCATTAACTAAACTTGAAAGTTAGCATATCAATAATGTTGTTAAGAAATATTAATTGCACAATAGAGTTGTACAATGGTATCAAATTATTAGTCACATGTATGACCACTTCAATTTAAAGTAAAATTTAATCTGGTATGCATGTGTGTCAAGAAATTGTTATTCCAAGATTGTCATTAACCCCTTCACATTCAAGAGTTGCTCTCAAGTTTGAAAGATGACAATTTCCCATGAAATTTTCATATGCGATGTTTATAAACAAAAGTCAAAGTCAATTGTTGTCTCACGTAGGCCTTTAAACATGGAAATCGTATGTCATAGTTTGAATAGTTATAGATCGCATTAATTTGTGCTAATGATGGACAACGTGCACGCTCCACAAGTTATATTGTTTATAAAGAAAATTTTCATAATTTGTTGACGTCTTATGAATATGTCGTGAAATTGTCTATATTTAATTTTAAGATGTAGTACAATACTTAATTTTATTTGTACCTCTATTTATATAATTAACTTATACTCCGTATTTAATTTACTTAAACATTGATAATTCAAATATTTGTAATTTATACGTAGTATTTTGTAACATTTTTTCCCGTGCAACGCACGGGTATGAATCTAGTTTTATTCTAAAAAATAGGTGATAATAACAAAATATCTTTTTATTTTTATATAAGAGAGTTTAATGAAAAAAATTAATAATAAAATTTTTTTTGATGAACCCGACCAAAAGAATTAGGCAGTGACAATCGCTAGAGGAAGGGAATATCGACCCCGAGTTCCTCGATCTACACGGTGCAAATTGTATAAACAAAATACCATATAAGAAGAATGAATGAAGAGCAAATAAAAATAAAGAGTCAGACTATGAAAAAGAGAAACGCACGACGATAATTAAAATAAATCTCCATAAATACAATGGTATGAGGCTAAAATGAATAGTGTTCCCGCCAAAAGTGATTGGGCCGGGTATGAGCTATTTGGGCTGGGTTATATTGTGGGCTTGAATTCGGATTTTGGACTGCGAATGGGTGGCACCAGGTTGTTTTAAAAGGCTAGCTGTTACATAGGGCGGCTAGAGGAGTTTTGCATAGGGCGGCGAAGGTTATGATGAAAAAAACTTTGGGGTGCGTGTGCACTATATTTACACGGCTTTCACCACTTTTTAGGAGCCCAATTTACTGATGTACATTTAATGCTTTAGATTAGATAAAATCTTAGGGTAAATGCATGGCCATTAAATGCAAAAGCTTCTCCCACCACTCCTAAAACATTATTTAACCGAACCAAGGGCCAAATTCTTCATCACCCACAAAACTTTCATACCAACAAGAATACCAAGATGTCCAAAAAGCCTGTAACCGAAATGTGGCACATGCTTGACAAAATTGATAACGGACGAACGACATGGATGCTTAAGTTACGAGCGATACGCGTTTACCATGTTTCGGCTTGGTCTAAGGGCAGAGATTCCATGGAAGTCATCTTCCACGATGAACGCGTAATTTCTTAGTATAGTTTCTTAAACAATATTTACATTCTTCCGAAACTCATTTATAATTATTTTCTTTTTCATGCAGGGGACGAGGATTCATGCTCATCTTAAGAATCCCGAAAAGAAATGTTTTGAAAACCAAATCGTTGAAGATGGCGTCTTTGGAATCTGAAATATTTTTGTTCCTGATAATTACCTTTCATGCAAAACAACTTCGCATAAATCTTTGTTGGTTTTTTATCCAAAGACAGAAGTCAAGACGCTTAGTGAAAAAGATTTTCCCAAATTCAAGTTCGACTTGAAATCATTTTCGAGCATTCAAGCTCAATCCTGTTTGAACGACCAACTTCTCATCGGTATAAAAAAACTAATTATTTTTCTTTCGCAAATTGTGCATTCAAATATTAATTACCTTCGGTTGTTTTGAGGAAAATTTTGTTTTTTTTGCAAATTCTGTTTTCAAATGAACATTTGTGCATTTAAATTGTGCATTAAAAAAATTTATATTTTTATTTTGCAAATTGTGCATTCAAATAAAAGTTTTGTTTTTTCGCAAATTCTACATTCAAAAATTTTTTTGAAGATATTTTCCTTCAGATTGTGCATTCAAAAAAATTGTACATTTGAAGATATTCGCAAATTTGCAGTCAAATAAAAATTTTGTTTTTTTTTCGGCCGGTGCAAATGTCATAGGAAAAATTGTTGGCCGATCAAAAGTTCAAACACACTTTAAACGTGGTGGAGAAGAGAAGCTAATGGAAATAACACTTGAAGATCATGAGTATGAGAACATATTTATAAATGACTTATAAGAGCTATTGCTTATAAAAATATTACGTAAATGATGATTGAATATATTTGGGAGAAATTCTGGGGCGAGTTTGACCCAAGATGTTTCGGGACCTTTTATCTTACTTCTTTGCTTCTGTCGGCCTAAGCGATACATGGGTAACATTTAATATTTTTCTCAATTTTCATCAGTTTCGTTTCATTGCTAATGATGATTGAATATATTCGGGACTAATTTAAATTATTTGACAGGTTCGGTCACTGTTTCAACTTCTTTTCATGTCACAAAGATGATTTTCGATGGAAACTATGATGAAGTTAATCAATTCCGAGCTAGGTACCATACGAAACTGCATGCCCTCTATACTATTTACGACTTTTCTTTGTTTTTTAAAATTCTAATTAAAGAAAATTTTTTTTAGCACAAGTTGATGATGTTAGTAGCATGAATACTTTGATGATGGATGGTGGAAATGAAGATGTAAACGAGCCTTTGAAAATCACCCCTTTGAAGACTCTGATTGATACAACTAAAGTTAAATTTTACGGATTAAAACATTTATATTAAACATGGTACTATCTTAAATGCATGATTGTCTAAATACAAACCTAAATTTTTTTAATGATTTTTACTATTTAAATAAACAGCCCGGGACATATTGGATTCTAGGTGAGATTTCATCACTTGAAAATACACCTGATTGGTGTTAGATGGGGTGCACCGAATGCAACAAGAATGTCATACCCGACGGTTTCCATTTTACATGTTCGGGATGTGATCTTAGGATGCCACATGGGGTTTACAAGTAAGTTCTACTTACTCATTCTACAACGGATGAAGTAAATTCTATGAAAATATACTACGAATTGAATGTAATATTAATGCGGTTTAACGCATAGGTTTAAGGTTAATGTGCACGTTTTTGACGTCTCCGGTCATGCCTCCTTTAATTAATAGGTAAGAAAATAATTTTAATCGACTAGTAATTTCTTTGCATTTATATTTTTATAATTTTTCTACATATCACATATATTCATATAAATAAAGTGAAGTATCTAAGAAAGTTCGGTTTATTCGGTTCAATTCAGTTTTTCCAAGTGAAAACCAAAACGGAACCAAACACTAACGGTTTGGTTCGATTTTTTTACATTCGGTTTTGGTTTTTTCGGTTCAGTTTTTTTCTAGCTCGTTTCGATCGATTTCGGTTTGGTTTGCGGTTTTTGGTTTTCCCAACCCAGCCCTACTTTAATAGGACATGATGGGCTGATACCCGCCAAGTGGCCCAGAAGGTGAGTCCAAATGTGTCTGGACCCCGCAGGTGCTTTAAGGTAGCATCGGGCCGGCCCAAAGCTTAGGGCCTAGGCTGACCTGGACTGAAGCGCCATGGAGTGTCCATCTTCAGAGAGGACGCGGCTAGGTTACGGGAAAAGAGCCAAAAAAAGAGGATCGCGAATCACGGGATTAGTTTCCATAATCCAAAAATTACCATAACTATGTAAAGGACATGTATAAATAGAGGCGATCCGAACAGAAAACCTCAAGCTAAACCTAATATATAATTTCATAATTCTTGAGTTCTTGTTTCTCAATTGTTTTTACGATCCGCCGATCAAGTCGGATTATTAAGTGGAATTCTTGTCCATCAAATTGGTGCTCTCATTGAGAGCTCGAGAAATTCACTCAGGAAAAAACCTTCTAAAGAACGATGATGCAAACACGCAGTAACGCTAATCAGCCCACCGGAAATCCTCCTCAAGGAGAAACTAGTGCCACCAGGGGCCGTCACCTCCCTATCAGCGTGACAGAGGCTGAAGCCCTCATCCAGCGGATCAAGACCACGTCTGATCAGTTTAAGGAGGTGGTGGAGGCCCTGGCCCCAAACCAAGAGATTGTGATGGACGACATCACAGGACCGCAGGTCTAGGGAAGGCCGGACCTGCAAGATCTGACGGAAAGAAGAAAAAGAAGACCAGGGGTTCTCAGAAGAAGAAAGCGACTAAGCCCAACGGGAAGGCGATGATAGAGGACGACCTGAGAAGGTTGGACGAGGAAGGAGAGTCGTCCTCGCTCGAGCGGGCTTCCGCTTTCAATCGGCTGGGGGACCGCAAAAAGAAGAAGCTGCAAAGCTCCGCGTTCGACCGGTTGCAAGACAACCGATCAACCCAGAAGGGTGACCTGAGGGAAAAACTCTAGGAGCAAAGGGAGGAGTCCTCACTGACGTCCAAAGCCCACTCGGAGGGAAGGCAAAAGGCGATCATGGACAAATATTTGGTCGAGTTGTGGAAGACAATCGACCGGCTAGAAAAGCAGTTTGACGCCCAGAATCCCTATCGCCAGGCAGTTTTTAATGAGGTGACCCCGTTCTCGAAGAGGGTAATGTCGTGCCCTCTCCCTGAAAATTTTAAGACCCCTTAGATCAAGGCGTATAATGGGACGACCGATCCACAGGACCACCTGGCACGTTTTCAAGCGAACGTGGTTATATATGCGTATCTAGAGGAGATTCAGTGTTGATGTTTTTTGGCAACCTTGGAGGTGCAATCCTGCAATTGGTTCCATAAGTTGCCAAGGGGATCGATCGACGAGTGGATGGACTTGGCCCACAAATTTTTGGAGCATTTTGCATCAAGTCGGAGGCAGAAGCTTCCCTACTCCCACTTGCTCAACGTTAGGATTCGAAAGGGGAAGCAACTCCGTGATTTTATCACCCGATGGGAGAAGGAGGCCAGCGACGTCCAGGGAGCGGACGACCAGGCTATGATCTCTATGCTCCGAGCGGCACTCCCCGCAGGGGATGTGCGCAAGGAGCTGCGACGGAACCTACTTCCTACATACCAGGGGATGTTTGCTAGGGCGAAGTACCTAGCGTTAGAAGAAGTTGATGATGAGGTGCTTGCCCAGAGGGAGAGGAAGAGTGTTCAGCTAGTAGGCGAGGGTAGGAAGCGAAAGGATTTTGGAAGAGGACCAAACCCCACATGCTACCAGGCAAGCAGGCCGCCAGTCCACGTAGTCTAATCCTTACCAGTCCCTCTCCGTGGTCGGGAAAACTATAGCGTCCAAGATGCTCCAAAATATTGTGAGTACTACCGTAACAGCACCCACAATACGTTGGAGTGCATTACGCTGAAGAAGGAGATGGACTAGCTGATCGCTAGAGGACCACCAGCCCATGCGGAGGGACAGGCACCTGGAAACAGGACTTGGAGGAGACCAGCCGTAGCCGGCACCGCGATCCGGAACGGGAAGGGACAGGTAGATGGAAGAAGGCATCTGGGGAGAGACTGTGAAGATCTTGATGAAGAGGAAAGGGAGAATCGATGGCATTTGGGGTGTCAATTTATCATGGGAGGAAATACTAGAGGAGACACGGTGTCCTCCCGAAAAAAGTCAAGGAACATGGTACATCTAGCCGAGATACAGAGACCACCGTTGCCCAAGAAGAAGAAGAGAGAACCGATAGTTTTCATTGATGAATACTATCTGCTAGTGCCTAGTTCCCATCAGGATGCGCTGGTGATAAAAGTGGAGATCAATAATTTGGTGGTTCATCAGGCATTGGTCCATACAGGCAACTAAGTCAATATCATGTACAGCAACACCTTCAAGGAGCTAGCCTTGTCTCGAGTAGATTTAAAGCCGATTCGTAGTGGTTTTACTGGGGAAATGATCGAAGTAGAAGGGACGATCACGGTGAAGGCTGGGGTACGAGATGGCACCCACTGACTCTGGCTCAACATGGAATTCATGGTAGTGCAGCTTGACTATGCACACCATTTGATCCTAGGGCGACCGAGTCTGGAAGATCTGGAGTGTGTAATCTCCCCCGCCCACTTGTGCATGAAGTTCCCTACCCCCACAGGGGTAGGTGTGGCTAGAGGGAATCAGAGTTTGTAGCGGTCGTGCTACGTTAGGGCGACCAAGAGTTATGCATGGATCGACGAGAATATCAAAACGATTTGTGCTGCCATTCAAAGGGAAGAAGGCCGACCTAGGGCAGAACCGGCAGAAGATGTGGAAGAAGTTACCTTGGACCCTGGAAAGCCGGAGCAGAAGGTTAAGGTTAGCAAGACCTTACAACGGGAACAAAAGGGGCAGTTGGTGAGCGTTCTTCGATCATTCAAGGTGCTATTTGCATGGGGTCCAAAAGACATGCCTGGGGTCGACCCACGAATCATCTGCCACCGACTGGCGGTCGACCCGGCACACAAGCTAGTCAAGCAAAAGAAGTGTTTCCTCTCTTTAGAGAGGAGGGACTTTATGACAAAAGAGGTAAGCACCCTGTAGTTCATTAGGCATATCCGGGAGATCCGATATCCAGAATGGTTGGCTAATGTAGTCCTCGCACCCAAAGGGAATACCTGGCGGCTGTGCGTCGATTACACCGACTTGAACAAAGCCTGCCCAATGGACCCATTCCCTCTCCCCAATATCGATCAGTTGGTGGATGAAACGGAGGGTGTGAGTTAATGAGCTTTATGGATCCGTTTATGAAGAGAAGCTTCGTTCATTACTTCAATTGGAGTTTATTGTTACAGGGTAATGCCATTCGGGTTGAAGAACGCCAGGGCAACCTACGCCCGAAGGGTCAACAAGCTATTCGCGCTAGTCTTAGGGAGGTGCATGGAGGCGTATGTGGACGACATGATCGTCAAATCAAAACAGATGGCATCACACGCACAGAACTTAAAGAAGGTGTTCAAGATCATGCAAAGGTACCAGCTCTGCCTCAACCAAAAGAAGTGTACGTTCGTCGTACAAGGTGGCAAGTTCTTGGGGCATATGGTTATCCGGAGGGGTATCGTACCCAACCTAGAGAAAGTGAAGGCGATATTGGACATGGAACCTCTGCGAAATGTGTTGAGGTCCAACAGCTAACGGGAAGAATTGCCGCTCTAAATAAGTTTTTGTCAAAGATAGCTGATCGAGCGATGTCGTTCTTCCAAACCATCAAAAGAAGCAAAGGGTTCATTTGGACAGAAGAATGTCAGCAAATCTTTGAAGGGTTAAAAGCTTACCTCCTCTCACCACTAGTGCTTTTGAAGCCAGAGCTCGGGGAGACTTTGTACATGTATTTGGGAATCTCTCCTCAAGCTGTGAGCTCAATGTTAGTGAGGGAAGAGAAGGGCACACAACGTCCCATTTATTATGTGGCTCAAGTGTTGCGAGGAGCTAAGTTGCGGTATTCTAACATGGAGTAGACCATCTTCGCGGTGGTATGTACGGTAAAGAAGCTTACGCCATATTTCCAGGCACACCTAGTACAAGTTTTGTCCCAAAGTCCAATCGGAGCCCTTATCCGGAGTCCCAACACCCCATTGCGAGTAAGTAAGTGGGGAGTATTTCTGGGGTCATTTCAGATAGAATTCAAGCCTCGACCAGCGATCAAAGGGCAGTCACTGGCGGACTTTGTGGTGGAGTGCACTACGAGGGATGAAAGAGCAAGCGAAGAAGAAGAACGAAATGGGAATTGGGGGAATATCTATACTGATGGGTCTCCCGAGACTGATGCTTTGGGGGGTGGAGTCGTGGCCATATCACCAGAAGGATTCAAGGCTTACTACTCGATAAGGTTTCGGTTTAAGGTATCCAACAATGAAGCGAAGTATGAGGCACTCCTGGGTGGATTAAGACTTGCGGCTTCCCTAAAGGAAGATCGAGTTCAGATCAGGTGCGACTCTAAGTTGGTGGTCGGCCACATCACTGAAGAATTTGAGGCAAAAGATGAGCGAATGAATAAATGTAGGGACGCTGCACTAGACCTACTCAAGGCCTTCAGAGCATACCGAGTGGAGCAAGTTCCCCGTGAGGAAAATAGTGAGGCAGATTTCCTCTCTAAACTTGGTCCGGGTTCCCAGAGCACATCAAGGCAATGATGAGAGAAGAAGAGTTGACAGAGCCAAGCATCAGCCCCGGACAAGTCTTGGTCATAACAGCTAAGGAGCCAGATTGGATAGATAAACGAACTGACCATGTATATCGTGGAAGGATCAGTATACCTGGCAATCGGGTCAATCGGTTTGGTTCCGATTCGGGTCTTTTTAGTTCGGGTCTCTTTCGGATATATGTTATAATCGGTTTGGGTCAGTTCGGTTCCGGGTTTATTTCGATTTGACTGGTTTTCAGTTCGGGTTCGGTTCCGGTTCACGTTTATATTGGGTTGGGTTTATATCGATTCGGGTTTGTATTGATTCGGGTTTATATCGATTCGGGTTTGTATCGGTTTAGGTTTATATTATTTCATGTATGTTTTAAATATATACTAATAAATCAATAGTATCGCATAATAAATTTAGTCAATTTATGATATACTTCGTAGTTATTTTATTATTTAACAGGGATGTACATAAAAATAACATTCACATAATTGACTAATTGTTACATTCTAAAGTTTTCCCTCCTAAAGTTTTTGGCGCGGCCTTTTCAGTTAACATTCTACTTTGTACTTCATCTATTTCTATTTAACTATCCATTTCACTTTGTGTCAAATATTTGAATAACTATATATAAAAATATATTATGAATTAAAATATACAGAGTAAAAGTTATTACCAAATTGTTGGTATTAAAAACACTTTAAATGTATTATTTTTAATATTTTTTGCTAATATATTTGAAGAGACGATGTTGGTAAAACTTTAAGTTCGAAGATGATAAAATACAAAAATACTTTAACTTAAGTTATAAATTACGGAGTAAAAGATTTGTACATGAAAGTAGTTGCATGGTTTGTACCTATAAATTAAATATGTTTTTTTAGAAACACATCAACATATGTAAACATATATGAGTAATTCTTTTTCTCCAAGTTTATTTGATAAATGAAATATTAATAAATTTGATCAATTTCAGTTCTAATCGGTTTCGGGTCTAATCGGTATCGGGTTTAATCGGTTTCGGGTTTAATCGGTTCGGGTTTAATCGGTTCGGGTTAAGTCGGATTCGGATCTGAATCGGGTCTAAATACATTCGGTTCGATTTTGGTTCGGTTCGGATCATTTTGGGTGTTCGGTTCTATTTCGATTCTTTAGTTTTTGGGTCAATTCGTGTTCGGTTTCGGGTTATTCGGTTCGGGTTATCGGGTCCGGGTCAGTTTTGCTAGGTCTAAGGATCAATACCAGTGGACTCAGTCGTAGCCAATATCGTTAAGCAACACGCACCTAGCTAGACCTGGCAAAACTGACCCGGACCCGATAACCCGAACCAAATAACCCGGAACTGAACCCGATTTGACCCGAAAACTGAAGAACCAAAATAGAACCGAACACCCGAAATGATCCGATCCGAACCGAACCCGAACCGAATGTATTCAGACCCGATTCAGACCCGAATCCGATTAAACCCAAACCGATTAAACCCGAACCGATTAAACCCAAACCCGGTTAAACCCGAACTCGATTAAACCCGGAACCGATTAGACCCGAACCCCATTAGACCCAAAATTGATCAAATTCATTAATATTTCATTTATCAAATGAATTTGGAGAAAAATAATTACCTATATATTTTTACATATGTTGATGTGTTTCTAAAAAAACATATTTAAATTATGGGTGCAAACCATGTAACTACTTTCATGTACAAATCTTTTACTTTGCATTTTATAACTTATGTTAAAATACTTTTGTATTTTTATAGAAAGTATATAAAAATTATAGTTAACTAAATTAACTAAGTTTATTATGTGATTTATTCATTTATTAGTATATATGTGTTTACATTATACTTGAACTAATATAAATTTAAACCGATATAAACTCAAATCTATATAAACCCAAATCAATACAACCCGAATTGATACAAACCTGACCCGATATAACCCGAACCGATACAAACCCGAACCGATATAAACCCGAACCAATATAAACCCGAACCGATATAAACCCGAAC